TTAATAACAAGTTAAGACATCTTATTTTATATATATATTCCAAGATTTCTAATACTTTCATACAAGCCACTATTTACATACAATCCTGGCCAAGTATAATAAAAGAGTAACAAACATGTTAAAAGGTCTAGTAACTGAAGTTTTTTTTAAATCTCTGAATCTCTACCAACTCGTTACATGAAGGTGAGTTGTACTGCCATTTTGGCAACAATATACCATGATAAAAAATTATCAAATAGTTTGCATCCAATCCCACTTTTTCCCCCCATTTCTACTTTCTAGCAAGGCTGGTAAACCTTCCAACATATAAATTTTGATTTACAAAGACCCACATTGATAGAAAAGGTATTGGACTAAGGTAAATAGTTTGAGATTTAAGTATTTTTTACTCAATCTATACAATACCAAGAAAATGTTGACATCTATCAGGAAGGCTCCTTTCAATAACAACAATAAAGCTTTTCTTCTAGTTAGAAACACCTATGTAGACTTCAAGGGCCGATATGCAATCACACTTAAATTTAATACTGATTTACAATCAGGAAAAACTACCTACTTAGATCAAACATAAAAAACAACTAATTTAAATCAGTTAATTAAAGACTGTTTTTAAATTCTTACTTTAAAGATTATACTGTACTGTTATTAACACATTTTGTCATGTTTTCCAACATCTTTTACATTGTGGATCATTTGTTTAGTGAATATGAACACATGCACAAAATATTAACGTTTCTAGAAGCATGTGTCCATTTTATTAATTCAACAACACAAGTAAACAGTTTCTTAACCACATTCTGACATATGAAGTCAGCAATAAATTTTCTCATAACACCTAAATTTGCATAATTTCAAACAAAAATGTTTACTATGATTAATACGAGATAATGGGAATGTGATGATTTTCTTTTAAACACCAAATATCCTTTTTTCTCTATTAATGACACTTATCCTGATCACTTACTCTGTTCTTCAGCAGCAGGTGTTTCAATTGATGTTTCTTGCTCTGAATCATCAAGAATTTCTCCTTCTTCTAAATCTACATCTTCTGGTTCAGAATTTCCATTGACTTTGATGTCCTCACTAAAACAAAAAATAACTGAAGTGTTCATAAATATTGACTGTGAAAGTGTCTTTACAGTCCAATTTCTTAACAGTTAAATAAATCCTTTAGTTGCAAAATTTGCTTAGGGAATATTCATAAATGTCATCATTTAATGCAAGCATACAAACTGTACACTAGTAGCAATGAAGTAGTAAATATCTTTAAAAAATTATTGCTTCTTTTAGAATATTTATTTTCTTTTTGCCATTTGTGAGAACTACCATTGGTCATCTTAATTTCATACAACACATTTTTTATTTCAATTTTGTGAAGCTCTAATTGATGTTTAAATTTTACCTCAAATTATGCAGTATTTCTTATGACCCTTAATGACAATTATTGCATAACGTCACATGAGAAGAAAGGCTATTGAAACTTTATAGACAGGCAACATTTCAAGGAATGTGGTAAGGGAAAAGAACATTATCTACTAAAATTTTATAAGTAAAAAAGAAAAGAAAGTAGATATTTACAACTTCATTATAAAAGTTGTGAATTACTAATCTACAAACCATGTATGTTCAATAGAATACAGATGAGACAAACACATGTGAATCTATTGTTCCAGGTAGAAAGTAGCAACCTAAACAGTTGTTGCACAAGGTGTAAGTATGCAATAGAGACAACTGTAATATGAAATATTATTTCCAGATCTAGTTTCAAGTGTAAACCAAGTGCAAATGCCCAGAGATCCACTCACTGATGAACAGTTTTACTGGGCTCACATTTTGATGAGCAGGCCTGTGTGTGTGCATATATATATATATATTTTTTCATTCAGCTCAGATTACTTAACTAAACTATCTAAAGACCTACTCCGAGATCTCCAATGAATGAAACATCTAGGTAACTACTCAATGAAATGACTGATCACATATCCATAAAAATATTGTTTTAAGCAAATACTTATAAACCTATCTTGTAAGATATAAACTGAAGATTTTTTATAAACAAACGTGAATATTTATCTAGCTCTGTTGTGTTAAGTTAGCATTACTCCAACAGAATAATTCTGAAGAAAAAAAAAGTCTTACTTAATTTGAAAGTTTTATGTTGTTCTACTGCTTTTATTTCTAAAAAAAGTGCAACCTTACAAAATACAATGATTTAAAAAAATAATTTTTTGATACTAAAGTTTATTTGACTTGTACATGAAATATAGAACCTGGATTGGTTACTTTGTGTATTGGTGTAAAAAAAGTTTGAAATAGTTACATACACAAACCATGATTAAGTTCAATGACACTGGAAGTGACAGAGAAACTTTTTTTCTACACAGTTGATTATCTTAATATAGTTAATAAAACATCAAAAAATCAGCTGCTTGAAACACAGAACAAGTATGACAGTTTTGTATTGTTGTATAAAATAACTGCCCAATATAAGCACTTGAAGTAAGTTAATCAAATTGATTAAGGCCTGAGTGTACATAAACTGATCACTCAGAAGCAATGTGAATCTGGTAGAACATCCACTGACTAAATATATATATATGACTTGATTAATAAATATCTAAACCATACTCTGATTATTTCCCAACTGCAAATACAATGGTTCACTTAGAAAAGTGTGAAGACTGTCAATTTATGTGTGTAAAAGTTCCACCTAAAGAGCTCCACAAAGCTCACAGTATTGTGCCTGAACTTATCAGACTATATTTCATAGAAATATGTGGGATTGTGAACGTTTAAATTTTAATATTTTGTTTAAAAAGATTTGATATATTTTCCTAACTAGCTGTCTAATTCATATTAAGCTTTACAACTTTATTAATAAACTAGCTATTAAAGTTATGCACTGGTTATCTTTCTGGGTGTGCTTATTTAATTTTTTCTTCAATAAATTAACTTTGCTAAGGTTTAATTCTTTTCAAGAGAGATCACTCACTGAGATTGGTTAATTCAAGTATTTTATATGAATGAGAACTAATTATACCATTAGACAAATATCAAGACATTTAGTAACAAGTATGGTTAAAATCTGTTAAGCAGTGTTTTTCATTCTTACTTTGAGATAAAGTTACCTGGAGGAATACAAAGGATATATCTATTACAGATAAATAGTTCTGGGGTAGAATCATTTATTTGTTAATATAATTTATAGACAGCTTGCACACGGAAAGCCATAAAAAATAGATATTAGACTATACCCTTACTTTACACGAGCATTCATTCATACATCATACCTTGTTTCTGTTAACAAACTTTGACTTCTCATTTCACCAAAAGAACATTCAAGAGTTCCTCAAAGTTCTGGGTTGAAAATAAAATTTAAATCTTTACAGATCACCCTCATATTAAAATAAATAGCCTCTGCCTTCTGACTTAAATCTTAAATGTTTCAGAAATAATACTCAGACTTCCCTACAGATGTTCCCTTTAATGTTATCACATAAGATGCATAGTGTATTGTGCGTGGAAAGTGGCGCTGGGATAATTAACATGTTACTACGATGTAACCTAAAATCTCTTTGAAAACGTATCTGGCAGATAAGTTTTATTATATCATTTCCTCCATAAAGTTCGAACTTTAAGTACTTAGGTTTCATGACTCCATCCCGTTCAATACTTTACTTCAGCAAACAACACCTAAATGTCACGGTGCTTATCCTTTCTATTTGTACAGACGCAATTCTAACGATATTTCTGAGAAACGCTTGATTAACACACATTTTAACGAATACAATAAAACGTTATTAAATTTGACAAGGGAGGGGGAATAACGACAATTTTCCTTAAGGATAAAAATACCTTTCCTCAGTGCATGAGAGAGGTAGAGTAGAACCAAGTGCGCCGCAGAAAATATTTTTTTAAGGGGGCGGGAGGTGTCAAGTAATTTCAAGTTTGAAAAAATTATGAAATCGAAATACAAATATCTTATGAATTTCCAATAACATAGAAGAATAATTTTACATATATAGTATATTTTTTTTACTTTTTGAAAATCCAGGGGGGGGGGAGTCAAGTGACCCCCCTTCCTGTGGGCGCCCATGAATGGAACATAGGTTTCCAGAAACAACAACTAACGGAACAGCCGCAGGTATAACGTTACAGAATCTCATCGGTACAATGCAATTCACTTCGAATGCTTTGCAATTTCAGTCCACATCCGTGCATGCGTACTTGACGCGCTTTACAAATGCAGTTATCAAAATGTTAACACATACTATAGGCAGTTGAATACACTTAAATGTTTAATAACTGGGCAAAATACACAGATAATTAGTTAGAACCTTTAACTTTTGTTTTTCATCTTCACTATCTGCACTTATTTTTATTCGTTACAAGTTTGCAATATAGCTGAATTCATGCTATAAACCAATTTCAAAATGTAGAAACGGCTCGGATAAAACAACAGTTACACATTCCCACAGTCGCATTAGTTATAAAGCTAATTTCCTGTGAAATGTAAACTCAATATCTGATGAAGCGTCGTGCAATTTACGTGCAACATTCCTGCACGTTATATTTAAATTGCGATGAAAACGTTAATTCTTATGTGCGAGATTTAGCTCTCTCGTAGAAGGAAAAAGTTATTACAACGGGGGACAGATGGAGTAATATCTACACATTCATTATTTATAAGGGAAATTTGTGATATATTACATTATAAACTGTACATGTTGACCATATAATATAGCTTCGAGTGAATGGTTAGGATGTTCAATTCTGTTTCACACAATACTTCACATTATTTACCATGCATACGTTTCATCATCAACGTTGCACTTAAGGTTAATTAAATTCCACTACAGGAAATATATGAAGTGACAGGGTACACCACACGCAGTTAAATAGTTGTTTTACTGTCAAAAACACAATTAGCCATAAGATCAATGCTCTTCCCTTGCACAACACAAAACTTAAATGAAAAAAATGAATATGAGATAATCATAGATGGTGTACTTTTCCATTCATACAGTTTGTGGTCAAATCTAAAATAAAACAACCTGCAGAGTTGTCCTCAGTTTCACCTACAGCCATTTTAAATGGAAAAACTGCAAAATTCCATATATATATAAATAAAAGCACAGAAAATAATTACACGTAATTTCTAAATATAATTTTGCTAATATTACATAAAGAGGTCTTTTCTATATTTAGTACAAAGCTATGTCAATAAATGAATACAGTAACCAAGCGCTTCGAGAAAGGAAGAGGGGGGGGGGGGTGAGTGCAATAATGAAAAATTAACTTAATATATTTTTCATTTATGAAAATAATAAATAATTACTACAGCACATATACCATTTTAATAATGTGTATCCATGCATTACATTTTATCACGTAACTCACTCTTTTCACTCATTTAAAAAAAAAAAAAAGGGATCGAGGCGCACAAGAAACCATATCTATTTACTAAGAACGTGGTTAAAGGTTTGGAAAACGCTGCAGTAATCTGTTCTACACGAAACTAAACTCCAGAAACGAGCACACCATTGTTCAAACATCACGTTACATAAAGTGCAAGTCAATTATCCTTCGAGTTTAATGCAAGACGTAACACTATGCACTAAGCTCCTTTCACAGAGACATTAAAATTGCTTATTTCTGCCCACACCTATCATTACGCAACTGGCTACCTATTGATTGGGAAGGAGGGACTGTAATAAGATTACTACATTCCATGGAAAAGTTTTATGGCAGTTAGAATTATCTGTAACTGTAATTATCTCAAGCTAGCTGTTTTATAGTACGATACCACCGAACTCGTGCTTTCATACAGCAAATGGATTGATTTAATTATTTCATGAATTTTTAATTATGTCACTTCTGGATAGCCGTAGATAGTAGCAATGCGAAGCGTACAGAATCCACGCGGAATTAATAAACTAACATCTTGCATATTCTACGGCAATAACGCAACTTCTAATTATAAAATCTAAATCTTAAACCTGCTTTTATAAACGTTTAAAACGCTTCTTCGTTCGTACATATGTTATTCATAAGCTATAACAATATTAACATACACCAAAACG